GGGGCTTGGAATGAGGGTGGACAGGCAGCCCCCCTATCAATCAGCTCCCCACTTCCCTAAATTCCCTGTGCAGCAGCTGCCCAGCAGGCTAGCAATTGCAGCTGTCCCTCCCCCCTCTGCCATGTGCTGCTCCTGCCCTCTGCCTTGAAGCTGCTCCCCGAGACTCCTGCTTGCTGTGCGGGGGGAGAGGGGAGGAAAAGGGGGCTAATGTCAGGGTGTCCCCCTCCCCCTGCTCCTGTGCCCTACTTACCCCCATCTTCCATAGAGCAGGGGGGGACACAAGACAGGGCTCAGGACGGAGGGAGCTTGCTGGCAGCAGCTGATGTCTCAGCAAGCGGATCTAATTAACAAGGCAGTGTACTTAAAGGGGAAATGCGCATCTCTCTCTCTCACACACACACACACACACACACACACACACACGGTATGTGTCTCTGTCTGGGATGCTGTCTCCCCTCCCTCCATTCCTGCTGCCTTGTAGAACGTGAGTGTTAACCCTTGAGGGCTCAGTCAATTGCTAGTTCATCATTTAGCAGTAAGGCATTCCCTGGGAAATATCCCACCCTCTGACTCCTCCACCTCAACCAAGTTTCACAATCATCATCACTGTGTACCAGTATTAAATTGTTTGTTTAAAACTTATAGTGTGTGTGTGTGTGTATATATAATATAGTCTTTTGTCAGGTAAAAAAAAAATTCCCTGGAAGCTAACCCCCTCATTTACATTAATTCTTATGGGGAAACTGGATTCACTTAACATTGTTTTGCTTAAAGTCGCATTTTTCAGGAACATAACTACAATGTTAAGTGAAGAGTTACTGTACCAAGAGCAGGCCCTTAAGGGATAACAGTACAGTATACAGAAGCGTTGCAAAGGGGAACGAGTGGTACATAGTCACTGAACACTTCACAGAATAGGTTGATGTTCAGTAGGGTTTTTTTGCAATTAATAGCTTGTGTGAATTAAAAAGTAAAAAAAAGTCATTGCCATGTTCATTCAGGTTTAGATTAGAAACATGGATAAAGAGATGATCATGGACACATAAGTGCTCATCAGTTCTGACCCAAAGAAGTTAATGAATCGCTGTAAGCTATATTAAAGCATGAAAGAAGTCACAGGGTGTTGATTTTCAACATCTGTACATGCGAGAGAACAAAACAGATTTATAATATAAAACAAAAGCTCTATAGAATATTTATTAAAATGCAGTTCAGACAATGATACAAAAGCACAAATTGACATTAAACACAGCATCAAAACCTAGAATATATAGGTACATCGGACTGAAAAAATGTTTCCACTTAGATGTATGATTAGTTTAAGGTAAAAACGCAGTGTCATATCAAGGTTGCCATGGCAACATTGCTTATAAGTGAACAGAAAAGTAAACAGACAGATAAGTCACATGTGCCCCGTTGATTGTGAGGTCACAATTCCTCTGGAACAAAAATAACTGCCACCCTCCTTACTTTACATTACATCTAAGGCCTGTGAAACCATGATAGCTCTATTTCCTCCCTAAAACAAACGCACCAGGCTGCTTACAGTAAAACTTAGCTCAAGTCCAGAGGTTCTCAAACTGTGGTCCGTGGACCACCAGTGGTCCGTGAGCTTAGGGTGACCAGATGTCCCAATTTTATAGAGACAGTCCCAATTTGGGGGTCTTTTTCTTATATAGGCGCCTATTGCTCCCTACCCCCGTCCCGATTTTTCACACTTGCTGTCTGGTCATCCTACGCGAGCTCCATTCAGGTGGTCCACAGATAGTTCGCTGTAAGGTGCACGCCTGGGCGGCCACACGCAGGAGAATGAAGGGCCACCCACCTAATTAGTGGAGCCGTGCAGGCATGGCTCCACTAATTAGGTGCCTGGACCATGGAGAAGATGCACATGTAAGGTGAGGCCTTGGGGGGAATAGGGGGTAGGTGGGAGGGGGTAGTGGGGTGAGAAGAGGGGGTGGGGGGAATTTGGGATGCGCAGGGCTGCGGCGGCCAGAGAAAGAGGCGACTTTCCCCAGCTCCAGGGCTGCGTCGGAGACACGGTTCTCCTTCCCAGCCTCAGCTCTGTGGCTGCTGTGATGGGGGAGAGACACCCCTCCTTCCCAGCCCCAGCTCGGGGGCTGCCATGGCGGGGGGAAAGACCTCCCTCCTTTCCAGCCCCAGCTCAGGGGCTGCTGTGGCAGGGGAGAGAGGGCACATCCATTGCATTAGAAAGGTAAGACAACTGATATTAAAATATGAGTTGTGTGCTTTTATTTGTAGAACAAAAAGTTTATTATTATTAAGGTTTTTTTATATAGCTATTTTATCCAAAGGGCTTTACAATAGTTAGCTAACGGTACAAACAACATTTGGAAAGATCATTAAGTGGCCCGCCAAGACCCTCAGCAATTTTCAAGTGGTCCGCAAAAAAAAAGTTTGAGAACCACTGCTCTAATCTACACTTAAAAGTTTTGCAGCTTTAATTATGCTAGCATATTAGATGCAGTGATACCATTACAGAAGTGCTTATACAGGTAAAGCTTATTCCGGTTCAGTATAACAAAATAATCTGTACTGATATAAAAGCACCTTATGTAACTTGGATAAGTGAGTCTACACCGGGGCTTTTACTGGCATAAATGTCACTAAAAAAAGCAAGCCATAAGAAACATACATTTTGAATTGATGGCACGTTTGTTGGCAGATAGACAACTCAGGGTTGTGTCCCCGAGCCTCTGTGGATCAGCTCTCTCATGCCTCTGAGAACACCCACATGAACCAAAAGATCCTTCAGTTACAACAGGATATGTTGTGGTCACAGGCAGTTTAACTTACATTTTTACTGTTGGGGCTCCCAATCCTGCTTCTGAGGAGCTCAAGAACAAACAGCTGCCATCTGGTAATGGATCGCCCTCTTTAACATCTTGATGGTGGATGGATACGCTTGATGTTTCCAGCTGATGCTGCCATGGTAGAGTGGCTACATCATTTACCTGACATCTAATTCATTGCTCGTGCTGTCAGTAGCCATATACCAGAAGAAGCAGCAACAAAATTATGCCAGTAAAATTTTTTAAGTGTAGTTCCCGGCCGTACAAATATGCAATAATTAGCCAAGGTATGTCACTTTTAGCCACCATGACAGCAAAGGAACTAGCAGCCTTCACAATAATGTCAGGGTTTGTGTACTGCTGAAGTGGGCAAGGCTCTTTACCATGAGGGGTTTAAGTTCTAAATACAGTATAAGGAGTCTTTCAATTAAGGCCCATTCAGCTGGTGTCATATGCTAGCTATTTAACAGTACAGTAAACGCCAAGATGCACACAGAAGTGAGTAAATGGAAATTTACACATTTCAAGATGCACTGTTCAGCCTGTCACTTAATGACAAAACTACAATATTTATGGGTCAAAAAGGTGCCATTGTAAAATACATGCCTGTCTTTTTGCTAAAGTTCTGTATGTCCAGCTAGTAGCAGTCACATCAGTACACAGACCAGTGGCGGCTGGTGAACTTTGGGGCCAGGGGGGTGATTTATCAGATCAGCAGGGAGGAGCTGGGGGGATAATAGAAGGAGCTGGGAGGAAGATCTAGGCAGTGGAGGAGCTGGGGGATGCCCAGAAGAGCAGGGGCCACCCCACAGAGCCCATCCTGTTCCCATCTCCTCCTCCGTGTGGGGGGCCCCCACTACCTGGCTTCAGCTCCACACCAGGCTTCCAGCAGCTTCAACCCCCACATTCCCCTTCCTAGTCCGGGTTCCCTCTGCACTGACCCTCTGCTGAGTGCCCCCTGCCCAGGCCCAGCACGAGGGACTGGGGGGAGTTCTCAGTCAGCCTGAGCCTCTCCAGTGGAAGAGGAGAGGAGGGGAGGGTGAAGTCCCATCTGGGTCCTTTCCCATCAGAAAGACCAGGATTGGATGAGGCCTCCACCCCACCGCCATGCCTGCTATGGCCAAGGAGGGGGCCTGCCTCACTCCCTTTGTTGTACCACTAGATCCACCTGTACCATGAAGTCTGTGCTGGTGACTGGACTGTGTACATTTACTCCTGAGGGGATTCTGCACCAAAAAAATAAAAATTCTGCACACAATATTTTAAAATTCTGCAAATTTTATTTGTCAATAAATAAATGTGGAGGCTCTAGCATGGCAGGTAGCACAGGCCACTGGTTGCACTAAGGTGGGATATCACCCTGCACCCCCGGGACGTGGAATCGGCGGTGAAGCTGTACCCAATCCTGACACAGTGCAAGGGCCAGGCCTGCCTCAGAAACTCCCCAGGGCCCTATCCCTCTGCGCCAGGAACACCAGGTGTGAGCTGGCAGGCTCAGCCCAGCAGGATCCAAGTGTAGAGGGGCTTAGTGTGGGGAGACCTACATGTGGGGTGAGAGGGTTCTGTGTGGGGCAATCTGGATGTGAGCAGCTCAGTGGGGGGTCCAGGTGCACGGGCAATGGGACTCTGCAGGGGAGGGGGTGTCAACGTGAAGGTGACTGGAGCTCAGCAGGAGGGGGTCTGAGTGTGGGGGATTGGGCTCTGCAGGGGATCTGGGTGCTGGGAAAGTGGGGCTTGGTGGGGGGGGGTCTGAGTGCAGCTGGTTGGAGCTCATCAAGGGGTGGTCTGGGTACAGGGGGGCCTGGTGCAGGGTGGTAGGGCTCGAAACGGGAGGCCTGGAGGTGTGAGGTGGGGCTTGGCGGGGGGGGGAAAGGGTATATTTAGGAATGGGGGGTCGGGATGCACAGGGGTTGGGCAGACAGGGGAGCAGCTTCCCATACAGTGACCTCTCCCTCCTGTGCCTGAGGAGTGATGGGGCAAGAAGGAGGCGGGGTGCGGAGCCAGGGGAGGTTTCTGAGGAGTGATCTGACCCAAACCCGGCCCCTCCATGCAGAGGAAGTACACTCCTTCACCACCCCCAGCCCAGCCAGGACTAGCAGCTGAGTCCGGTGCAGGATAGAAACCACTGGCCTAAACATCCCCAGCCCTGTGTGGGGGACACTTTACCAAGTGCTACATTCACCACAGCCTGCAGCTCGGGGTGATGAATTCTGCCTGTGCCACAAGAACATCCTGCTGTTAAATATAAATCGCAGCATATTTAGTCTCGCGCTCAGTGGTTTGAGCATTGGCCTGCTAAACCCAGGGTTGTGAGTTCAATCCTTGAGGTGGCCACTTAGAGATCTGGGGCAAAATCAGTACTTGGTCTTGCTAGTGAAGGCAGAGGGCTGGACTCGATGACCTTTTGGGGTCCCTTCCAGCTCTATGAGATAGGTATATCTCCATATGATGTAAGCAGAGTCAGGATGAGCTCTACCCTGACATCTGGTGGTGAATTAT